AAGAATCCAATCGCTCTTACAACATATATCGCCACTACTTGATTCCGAGAAACCCACAGCTGAAGTATTTCATGAGAAATGTTTCTTGCTCTCGAATTTATTCCACGAATGAATTCTCAAGCCTCCGGATATAAAAAAGAGTTTTTCCATAAGCACCCTTCTGCTTCAGGGGCTTCCAAGTCAAGTCCGACTCATCCGTTTTCTCGGGCGTCCCTTGTAAGGATTTCGCAACCCAGAACTCGAACCCGGCTCAAATGGGTGCGGAAAAAATAACCCAGGGAGAAAATCCCTCAAAGACGACTCTCCTGCAGGCATTTTTGCATGACTCTACAAGATTGTTATATTCATTTCAGCATTGTAGGAAAGGCCCGTGAACATATTTCTGGTGGTGCAATTTGCTGAAAAATTACTGGACCCAATGTGTATGGACTAAACGTCCAAAAACACACGGTGAGTTAAAAACCCAATGACCCAATGAATTTTTAAACCCTAAAAGAGACCCGTAGGGAAACTTTTTACTTGAGGTATTTCCAAATAACTCCGAATTACTTTGATATTAAAAGCCAAGGGTTTCTCAAGTCTTTTAAGATGCTTACACATCTGAATTGCAAATTATTTGAGCATACACATATTGCAACTCATTTCTGCAGGTGTAAAATCTAGAAATTTATCCAATTTTTAAAAAGTGTGACAAATTTAAATGTAAGTACTGTACAATTTATTTTGTAATGTATGCTCTAAAATGTTTCATACAACAAGGATATGCATAATCATATTTTCTTTGACTTCCCTATATTTAGTACTGTATACGGATGTACCATGACACAAAAACCTTAAAAAAAAAGGACCAAGAGCAATTCTCAAGACAGTATAATCAGACTGATGCTGTATGACTTGGTAATTTGGTTGACAAGAGTAGAGCCAATTATAATTTTTGAAATAAACAACGCTTGTCTCTGCCATATACTTTGTTCAATTCCCACCAAAACAAGCATTTTTGGTTAGGAAAAGGTAAAATCATTGCACTTAATTTTAACCAGCAATATTCAGGACCATGAATTGCCAGGATACTGAACTTGGAGGTAAGGGTTCATTTACCCAATTTTTCTTCCACTTTCTCTTGAAACATACCAAGGTAATTTTTTACTGCTTTTCTCTTTCCTGGTGTGTCAATAAAATAATAGTAGAAAGCATCCAGAAAAGTCAAGTTATGGATGTTTGAGAGGAAAATATTTGAGTTGGGGAGATTTTGAATGTATTGTTTCTAAGGGATTTTAGACAGGAACTTGAAAAAATCCATATAGGGATGAGTAGGTATTTGACTTTGGGAAGTTCAAGTTATCAAGGCTCAACTGTAATACGATTTCATGGTGTAACACTTGTTTGTACAACAATTGTTCCATCAAGATCAATTATGTCATTTTTCTGAACTAGATTCTGCCATATTCATTTTGTATCAAAATTTCCACTCAATTTCCATCTGTTTCAACTGAAGATTTGTCAAGTTACTCTAGCACAGTGTTCCCTGACTAGTGGTCTGCAGAAGTTTTTTGCTGGTCCACAAGGAATTTTCAGCATAATTATCAAAATTAGCAGTGCAGTCTTTTGTCTTTATTTAAAATTTTGGAAAGACAAATGGCAGTATAAAATTATCTGATGAAAAATAGAATTTGGTTTTCTCCTAATAGCACTTTAGACAAATTTTCACTTGCTGAAATAAATTATTTTGATTTTTCATTGAGAGAAATCTTGTTTCAAGTGCACCTTCCAAATGTTTTGAAGACATTCAGCTATAGTAGCTTTATTGGTGTTTAACTTAATTTTTGCAAAAAGAAGAAACTTTAAAATACCTTCCATAAAGTCTTTCAAGCAATAACTACTTTTTGATCCCGTAAAATTTTTATGAAACTCTCCCAGTCCACAGAAGATGTTTTGGAGAATTTGTCAGTCCATCACAATTATTTGTTCTAAAAATTTGCTGGTCTGCGGGCCCAAAAAGGTTGGGGAACACTGCTCTAGCAAAATCTCTTTTACGCCTCCTGAAAAATGAGGAAAAGCAAATGAAAATCGACTAATTTCACTCCTACTTCATGAGCTCCGTGTTAAGAATTGTTTCAGCGGGATTTTGGAGCTGCGGGATTTTGGTATCCGCGGGGTTTTCTCAGGGAGCCATTTCAAAAGAGCCCCGAGGAAGCGTCAGAGGGCCTCTGCCAGATGGATTGCCGCCCGTTCTTCCAAAGCGGCGCATTTTTCGGTTATCATTGTTGCTCCCTTTATGTACACAATTGCGCCTTCAGGCTGAAATGCTGCGCCTGCGATTCAAATCCCCGGGGGTGGAGCTAGTGAGTATCAAAGCAAATTTAAAAAAGAAGAAAAAGTTTTCATATACATCGTCCACCTGTCTTTTATTTGTTTTTCTGGCTTTATTGCTTCTGCTTCTTTTCTTCGTCTTNCCCTAAAATGTCATCAAGAATCCAATCGCTCTTACAACATATATCGCCACTACTTGATTCCGAGAAACCCACAGCTGAAGTATTTCATGAGAAATGTTTCTTGCTCTCGAATTTATTCCACGAATGAATTCTCAAGCCTCCGGATATAAAAAAGAGTTTTTCCATAAGCACCCTTCTGCTTCAGGGGCTTCCAAGTCAAGTCCGACTCATCCGTTTTCTCGGGCGTCCCTTGTAAGGATTTCGCAACCCAGAACTCGAACCCGGCTCAAATGGGTGCGGAAAAAATAACCCAGGGAGAAAATCCCTCAAAGACGACTCTCCTGCAGGCATTTTTGCATGACTCTACAAGATTGTTATATTCATTTCAGCATTGTAGGAAAGGCCCGTGAACATATTTCTGGTGGTGCAATTTGCTGAAAAATTACTGGACCCAATGTGTAACCTGATTTGCAGGTTTTTGAGTGCCACTCAATTTTTGGGTTACTGGGTTACTTAAAAATTTGGGACTTTCTCTGGGCATCCCTTTGAAAAATGAACTCCATAAAGGTTTATTGAGGCTTAATGAAATATATTAAAAGCCAAGGGTTTCTCAAGTCTTTTAAGATGCTTACACATCTGAATTGCAAATTATTTGAGCATACACATATTGAAACTCATTTCTGCAGGTGTAAAATCTAGAAATTTATCCAATTTTTAAAAAGTGTGACAAATTTAAATGTAAGTACTGTACAATTTATTTTGTAATGTATGCTCTAAAATGTTTCATGCAACAAGGATATGCATAATCATACTTTCTTTGACTTCCTTATTATATACAGTACTATATACGGATGTACCATGACAGAAAAACCTTAAAAAACGGACCAAGAGCAATTCTCAAGACAGTATAATCAGACTGATGCAGTATGACTTGGTAATTTGGTTGACAAGAGTAGAGACAATTAGAATTTTAGAAATAAACAACGCTTGTCTCTACCACATGCTTTGTTCAATTCCCACCAAAACAAACATTTTTGTTGAGAAAAAGATAAAATCATTGCACTCAATTTTAACCAGCAATATTCAGGGCCTTTTGTTGCTTCTTGAATGAATTGCCAGGATCAATACTTAACTTGGAGGCAACTTGGCAAGGGTTCATTTACCCAATTTTTCTTCCACTTTCTCTTGAAACATACCAAGGTAATTTTTGACTGATTTTCTCTTTCCTGCTGTGTCAATAAAATGATAGTAAAAAGCCTCCAGAAAAGTCAAGTTATGGATGTTTGAGAGGAAAATATTTTAGTTGGGGAGATTTTGAATGTATTGTTTCTAAGGGATTTCAGACAGGAACTTGAAAAAAATCAATATAGGGATGAGTAGGTATTTGACTTCAGGAAGTTCAAGTTATCAAGGCTCAACTATAATAAGATTTCACAGTGTAACACTTAGTTCATCACATCTGTACTACAATTGTTCCATCAAGATCAATTGTCATTTGACTCAACTGAATTCTGCCATATTCATTTTGCATCAAAATTTCCAGTCAATTTCACCTGTTTCAACTGAAAATTTTGTAGCTACTCTAGCACAGTGTTCCCTGACTAGTGGTCTGCAGAAGTTTTTTTCTGGTCCACAAGGAATTTTCAGCATAATTATAAAAATTAGCAATACTGTACAGTCTTTTGTCTCTATTTAAAATTTTGGAAAGACAAATGGCAGTACTGTATAAAATTATTTGATGACAAATAGAAGTTGATTTTCTCCTAATAGCACTTCAAACAAATTTTCACCTTCTGAAATAAATTATTATAATTTTTCATTCTGAGAAACCTTGTTTCAAGTGTACCTTTCAAGTTTTTTGATGACATTCGGCTATAGTAGCTTTATTGGTGTTCAACTTAATTTCTGCAAAAAGCAGAAACTTTCAAATACCTTCCATAAAGTCTTTCAAGCAATACTACTTTTTGATCCCGTAAAATTTTTATGAAACTCTCCCAGTCCACAGAAGATGTTTTGGAGAATTTGTCAGTCCATAAAAATTAATTGTTTTTAAAATTTGCTGGTCCGCAGGCCCAAAAAGGTTGGGGAACACTGCTCTAGCAAAATCCCTTTTACCCCTCATGAAAAATGAGGAAAAGCGAATGAAAATCGACTAATTTCACTCCTACTAAATGAGCTCCGTGTTAAGAATTGTTTCAGCGGGATTTTGGAGCTGCGGGATTTTGGTATCCGCGGGGTTTTCTCAGGGAGCCATTTCAAAAGAGCCCCGAGGAAGTGTCAGAGGGCCTCTGTCAGATGGATTGCCGCCCGTTCTTCCAAAGCGGCGCATTTTTCGGTTATCATTGTTGCTCCCTTTATGTACACAATTGCGCCTTCAGGCTGAAATGCTGCGCCTGCGATTCAAATCCCCGGGGGTGGAGCTAGTGAGTATCAAAGCAAATTTAAAAAAGAAGAAAAAGTTTTCATATACATCGTCCACCTGTCTTTTATTTGTTTTTCTGGCTTTATTGCTTCTGCTTCTTTTCTTCGTCTTTATTCTCAGTCCAGCGTTTCCTTGACCGAAAGAAATGGGTGAAGAAGGGGAAGTTTGATAGGAAATAAAATTCGTCACACCGCTCTGATGAAAATAAATTGCCTCATTCATTTCGCCATTCTTTCACGAATGATTTTACACGCGTTCCTTTAATTTGGCGACATATTTCTTTCACAGGGGGGTGAAAGAGCTCACAATGGAAAAATTGGGATTTGAAATTATGCGTTTTTTCATCCTTTCATGAAATCGGCCTCTTTCCGACTTCATGGTCACGGAGGTCGATTCTGCGAATTTTCCCGCTGATCGTCTTTGGCAACGAGCTCACAAATTCAACCTGAAATAAAATAATGAACGAAAAAATCGGATGAAAAACAGATACAGTGTAGTCTTGGCGAATAAGACCCATCAGCAATATTTTTCAAATTAACTTTTCTTCCGAGCCTTCTCTTGAGTTAGTTGACAACTTTTTCTGGATTTTCAACTACAGTTAAAATGTTTAATCCTCCCAGTTACTGTATTTCTCAAAAACTTCACCGCGAATAGCTGGAAAATAATCGCGGAACTGCGCAAAGGTTATACATGCTGTACATTACTTTTTGATCTGCTATATTCTTATATACGGATGGAATATTTAAAAAAATTTGCTATTAAACTATGTATATCCCAGCTCTTCGATTGCGCTAACCTTTCGTGGATATTTGTATGGGGCAGTGACAGTCTTGACGTGGGTTTGAATATCTTTAATGAGCTCCGCGGTTTGCTTCGGATCATGAGCGACATCTGCGTAGGACTCTGAAAGTACGACGAACGCTTTCACGATTTCTCCTCGAATAGGATCCGGCGATGCGACAACAGCAGATTCAGCTACTGCTTCATGTTCCAAGAGGGCGGATTCCACCTCAAAGGGCCCAATTCGATACCTGAAAATATTTTCGAAAACGGTACAAAAAATTATAACCTTTACATTTTTTTCAGACTAAAAATTTTCTGCAAACCAGCAAAGTTTTGTACAATTTTTGCAGGCTCAAAAGTTCTGCATGAAAGCTTTACAAAGGCATCTAAAAAGTTTCTGTCTTTTTTTTTAACAATCAAGATCCAATGAAGCAGGTGTATATTGGAATATTTTCAAAGATATTAGAAAGGTGGGCTTGAAGAAAGGTTTATCAGACTGAAAAGAAAAAATAATTTATTTCAGCATATGACAGTTTGTCTGAAGTATAATTAAGAGAAAAGTCAACTTATGTTTTTTTTAGATAATTTCAGCTGCCATTGTTTTTCTGAGGTTTCAGATGAAGATAACAGATTCATTGCTACTTTTCTCAATTTATTATGCTGCTGAAAATTCCCTGTGGACCGGCAAAAAACTTCTGCAGAACAGTGCCAGTACATGGAACATGGGTTGGGGAAAACTGACTTACAGCATGACTAGCAAAACAATATTGCTGATCAGTACGCTCCTCAATTTGAAAATTGCTGTAAGTTCTGATACTCGTATATTATCACAGTGTAGCTGTTGCAAATGTACCAACTTGTAACTGTTTGTAAAAAAATGTTGTGGATAATTTCCTGTAAGTGATGGAGTGCGCTTCCAATTCTGCATATTCTCATCATTTCAACTTTGGTGAGTGGTTGAGAATCCAGAAATAATAATCTGAAAAAAGCATGCCCTTTCTCCATCCATTCAATAAGAAAAAAAGCACCTGACTTAAGAAACTTATGGATTACCCCTTTCACAGATTTTCCTATAAGACTTATCTATGAATTACATTCGGCGCAGAATCTATGCATTTTTTTCAGGTTTTCGCTGTCGAAGATTCTTCTGATTGGTTTCTTCTATTCTCCTCTAATGTGCTGAACCACTAAAATTACCCAGACGAGATGATGACATCATCGGCTCGGGAAATGAAGAATGCAAATCCGTCTTCGTCGATGTATCCACGATCACCGGTGAGATAATGATCTTTTTTGAGAACCTTCTCTGTTGCCTCGTCGTTCTTCCAATACTCTGTGAATAATTTTATACAGTATCTTGCAAATTTCAAGAAAATAAAAATACAGGAAATAATAAGAAAATGAAAATAAGTTAACAGTTTCGCAACGGATTTCTTGAGTCAACTGAATTCACACATACTTGTGAACAAACCAATGGGTCGATTTTTCCGCAAGTCCAAAGCGAGAATTCCTTCCTGGTTCGGTGGCAATCGGTTTCCAAATTCATCTACAACCTGGGTGAAAATTGAAAGAATTTAACATCAAGGAAACCTCAACTTGAAACAAATTCAGTCCATCACTTGACATGGGATGATGGGACTACAAATCTAACCGGAAAGATTAATTCAGCAATGTCCTGGTATCTTTGAACTTTGATCGACGAATCTTTAGTGTTTCAGCTGGAAGGTCATAGATGCCACTCCTGAGGCCATCAAGAATTTTAATCGGAGTAACTGATTGTCAAAGAATAAAATGTACTGCTTCAAAACACACAAGTATCGAGGACATGATTTTGAAAACTCGCAATGGATCCGTCGGACAAACATTTTTACCAAGTTTTTTTTAAAGTATAAATTCAAGATTTTGCTTGAATACATTTTAACCTCTTCTAATTCAATTTAAGGGGAACAAGAAAATTGTTCTACTTGAGGAGTTCTCGAGTTGGTAAATTCGGAATCATTTCTGCAGATTTTTAAAGGAATTATCCTGGCCAATTTTAATATAATTTTAACTACAGTACATTTACTGATTTCATACCTGCAGGAATTTACTTTAAAAACACATTGCGAAAATAAGTTGCATTTTCTTTTCTTGGTTTTCGAGAACAGGCATTCTGTACAGCATAATTCAGCTCAAAATGAATTAATGTGCAGTACTCAAAATTCTGAGCCATATATAAGGCAGGTTTGACGCAAACTTCATCAGTTATAGAAAGGCTAAAAAAAACATGTACTGTACATTTATTTTAGGGGAATTGGCCAGGGGTTCATGAGAAATTGGGATCCAGGGGGTTCTTGACTTTTGTAGACGTTTGACTTAGCAAGGTCCAAAACTGTATTTTGATATTCCAAATTGAAGATACAGTGGTAAAAAAAATAAACCACTTGCCACCATTTTGTAACCAATCATGCCTTTCCCCATTGAGGACGGCTTTCTTGGCAACCCAGGAAGACTTCCTGCAGAAATTGTAGACTCTGTCTGTCCATAGCCTTCCATTAAAGGTATACCTGCAAAAGAAAAAATGAATCATGAATGGATGGATAAAAAGCTATTGCATTCATTTGAGTACACACACCCTTGAGTGAGATTCACATCTGATTTTTTCATACTAAAATTTGAACCCAAACTTGGGCCTGAGTAAGACTTGTATATACCATTTGTAGTGGCTAAAAATTGCAATATTTTGTAAATAAAATACGTCAGACTTTATTTTGACTTGAGTTGAAACCTGAAGTCAAATAATTTCCAAAACTTTCTTCTGATTAATGGGTCCACATTTTTTGTTGAAATCAAGTACAGTGAGGCCCCGAGATGTGGACGTAATTGGTGCATCAAGAGTGTCCCCAAGTCAAAATGTCCCTAAGTTGAGTCTTGTTTTCCCTAAAAGAAGAAAAAGTTTTCATATACATCGTCCACCTGTCTTTTATTTGTTTTTCTGGCTTTATTGCTTCTGCTTCTTTTCTTCGTCTTTATTCTCAGTCCAGCGTTTCCTTGACCGAAAGAAATGGGCGAAGATGGGGAAGTTTAACAGGAAATAAAATTCGTCACACCGCTCTGATGAAAATAAATTGCCTCATTCATTTCGCCATTCTTTCACGAATGATTTTACACGTGCTCCTTTAATTTGGCGACGTACAATATCTCTTTTACAGGGGGGTTAAAAAGCTCACAATGGAAAAATTTGGATTTGAAATTATGGTTTTTTTTACAGTTTCATGAAATCGGCCGCTTTCCGAATTCATGGTCACGGAGGTCGATTCTGCGAATTTTCCCGCTGATCGTCTTCGGCAACGAGCTCACAAATTCAACCTGAAATAAAATAATGAACGAAAAAATCGGATGAAAAACAGATACAGTATAGTCTTCGCGAATAAGACCCAGCAACATTTTTCAAATTAACTTTTCTTCCGAGCCTTCTCTTGAGTTAGTTGACAACTTTTTCTTGATTTTCAACTACAGTTGAAATGTATAATCCTCCCACTTACTGTATTTCTCAAAAACTTCACCGCGAATAGCTGGAAAATAATCGCGGAAGTGCGCAAAGGTTATACACGCACATTACTTTTTGATCTGCTATATTCTTATATACTGATGGAATATTTAAACAATTTTGCCATTAAACTATGTTTATCCCAGCTCTTCGATTGCCCTAACCTTTCGTGGATATTTGTATGGGGCAGTGACAGTCTTGACGTGGGTTTGAATATCTTTAATGAGCTCCGCGGTTTGCTTCGGATCATGAGCGACATCTAAGTAGGACTCTGAAAGTACGACGAACGCTTTCACGATTTCTCCTCGAATAGGATCCGGCGATGCGACAACAGCAGATTCTGCTACTGCTTCATGTTCCAAGAGGGCGGATTCCACCTCAAAGGGCCCAATTCGATACCTGAAAATATTTTCGAAAACGGTACAAAAAATTATAACCTTTACATTTTTTTCAGACTAAAAATTTTCTGTTTTGCCACTTGAATTTGAATTAGGGAATACATTTTCAACTCAATAAGAACATTTGGAGCATTGAATAGTGTATCTCTGTACTGCACACTGAAATTTTGGCATCTACATAAATAACATTCAAGTGAAAAAAGTAGAAGTCCCTCTATGCTGGAGGAAATTTTTTTTAGTTAGCTAGATGGAGGGTAATTTGGTGAGAGAAATGCCCCAGAACTTTTCTTACATCAATATCAGGGTTGGAAATATCTGTTTCTTGTAATTAGGCCAGAAATGCTGCAATTTTATCACAAAACGTCCCTATGTCAAGTCAGTGTCCTCATGTCAGGCCATTTTTATGAATTTTTTCTGGGAAAAAAGTGTCCCTATGTCAAATTGTCTGCAGGTCAAGGCGTCCACATGTGGGGGTCTCACTGTACTGTATACCAAATGACACTGCAATACACACATAAACTTGTAAAAATGTGAGAAAAGGTCCGTTTGATCATTGAGTGAATAGACTAAATGTTCTCCATCAAGAATTTGTTTCTTTGTTCTCTGCTCTCAAAACTTCTGAAATTAGTAAATCACTGAATGTGTAAAAAAATGAAAAGTCATTGTTGCAGTAAAATCTTGAACCTCTTCTTTGATAGAGAAAAGAACTAATTAACAATATTTATATCGTACAGTACAGTAGATGATTTCAGATGATGAATATGAATAAAGTATCATGATTCAGAGAAATACGAAGTCTTACCAGTGCTTGATTCCCAAACGTGGATCACTTCTGGGTTCAGGGGTTCTCCCCCTGATACACAAAGCCTTAAATTGCGGAATTTCCTGGCACTTAAAGAAGGGTCTTGGACTATTGTTCTCATGGCAGTAGGTGGACAACAGATCACACTGATCGGATGCTTTTCCAGCAAATCAAGTATCTCAGTCCCATTGAACTGGGGCATCTGAGAAATAAGTGAATGCAGAATTCATTTTAATCATTTACACATACAGCATGTGAAAAACTAGTTTACTGCGGTCAAAATATGTTCAACTTTAAATATCCATTGCAGAGCAGTGCCTATATACTTGTACAATATCCACTGTATACTGTATCCCAGTGAGCACAAAAAAGGTTATTTGTGTCCAAAGCAACTTCTCCCATAATGTTGCCAAAAAATGGACAAGTTTTGGACAAGTACTCCAAACTCCAGACAAGCACTCCAAACTTGTCCACCAAGTTTGGAGAGACTTTTGGATAAAACTCAGAAAATTTGTCCAATTTTCATCAAAAATGTGTCCAAAGCAACTTCTCCCATAATGTTGCCAAAAAATGGACAAGTTTTGGACAATTTGCTTCGGATACATTTTTAATGAAAATTGGACAAATTTTCTGAGTTTTATCCAAAAGTCTCTCCAAACTTGGCGGATAAGTTTGGAGTGCTTGTCTGCCTGACACTGGCACCAAAAAGTGGTGGACTGGTTTTCATAACTTGTCTGCCAGTTCTCCCAAATCGGCAGACAATTTTGGAGAACATGTATGCCAGAGAATGTATTGTGTCACCATAGAATTTTTTTTACAAGCTCTCCAAAACATTTCCATGAAACTCATTTGGGTGAGTTTTGGACATTGTTTGGAGAACTTCTTGTTTGCTGGTTACAGTTGAATCTCACCTGATTGAGCAAAAATGTAATTTTTCTTAATTTGAAAGCTGCTTTGAGTGGATTTTTGTGTGTCCTTTGGAATTTGACAGAGCAAGATCCAAATTTATTACATGTAGGTACATTTCAGTTAGATTAAAGATTATCAAACTCTCAGCAGTGCCGAGTATCTGAAGTCTGAAAATCTTTGGCACAGATAATCCATAATTTTTCTGAAGACCTTCATGTTCATCTTATAAGAAGAAGGCGCAGTTAGAAATAGCCTTCTGCTGGGGAGTTTTTGGATAGTTTTAAAAGACAAATTAGTCTGTTTCAAATAAAAGAATAAGAATACACAACCTTGGATACACATTTTGCAGAACTATCCTGACTTGTCCACTCCAGCAACAATTGAGAATATCTTGTACAGGTGGTATATTGAAATTTGACCATCCCACAATTTAGCAATAGAATTTGCAGGGAGTTTGACTTACAATCCGACTCTTACCCTGCAATTCAACCTGCTTTGGGCATTTTCCCCCATTTTTGAACTTATATTTTTGAATTTCATGGAGTGTCTTGTAATTTTACCAATTTGCAATTGAACCATAGTTTGGCAACAGATTAGGGTCAAATTGCAAGGTACCTCTTGTATCATCAAACCAGCCTTCCGAAAAGCTAAAATTGTTCAACATATAAAGTTTGCTTCACCTCAGCTGAGAAAACAGTTGCACATGCAATCCATGGGGAATAAAATGAGGAATACGCCGCTTTTGCCCATCCAGTGTCAGACAAATTCCAGACTAAATCTTCAGAGCCACTGTTCAGCCATAATCTGAAAAATAAAATCAGTGAACTATCAATTTTTAATATCCTTCCCATAGTGAGTGACATGATATGCTAGTGCAAAAATTTGAAATAAAATATGCGTCAATGCATTTTCTGATTTATTGAGCACAATATAGCGAAGTACTTGAACTATGACGTACATCTTCCATGTGAAATTCCGGCAACATTTTCATAAACCTATATGTCACTTTCCTTGAGTAGTTACAAAGTCAGAATTCATTGAACATATAGAAATCGAGACATTTCATACCTTCCAGTTCCCCAGTGGCCCATGCCATAGCTGACATGATTCACTAATGTCAATTTTGGCAACCCTGTGGTTCCAGAAGTGAAAAACAGGTTGCAAGGGTCTCCAGATCTGCTTGGAAAGTACCCTGTTAAAGGATCCAGGTCTTTGTCTTGTAATCCAGGAAGTACTTTCCATCCCGGCGGCACACTGTGAATGATATTTGCCAAGAATTAAAACCGAATTTAACTTTCACAGTTCTATGGGATAATTAAAAAGGCAAATTTATTCATCAGTTCTATTATTCCAGTCTCTAGACCGCAAACTTTCCATAAATGACTATAACGTCAATTTATTGACACGCATCTACCAATTTATTGCTGGAATCCGTGTATTTCTGACAATTTCACGACAACTTCTATTCCTAGAATTTAAAAAAGGAACGGATTAAATTTTTGATCTATGACATGCATTAGTTTGAACTTTCAAGATCAGCACGAATTATTTTGTGTTTGAAAGGCATGCACATAATTTTATGAGTCATTTTTATTTTTTTTAATTGTCAAAATTTCCATGGTAGTCTACGCACTGATTCAAAATTAATATACAACATACGCATCTATATAATAAATAATAAATTAGAAGTTTTCCTATTTTGAAAATTATTCAAATGATTGCATAAAAATTGTGCGCCTGAAAAACTGCTGAAAAATGTGACAAACGCTCCTGGATTGTGCGAAGATTCCAAAAACAGTTTGGATTCAAGTTTTCCCACATCACGAGTACAAATTTTTTAGAAATTGGAACAGCGTCATAAAATATAAATTCTATGCATTTATATACGGTATACGTACTGTACTCCGAAATCTTTCGAAAAATTCCGTGTCTTCATAATCTAAAATTTCCCTCAGGACTTCGCAAGATTTTCAGTCTACATAATTTCGAAAAAGCTAATTCCACATAGCAGAATTGATCAATATCAGGATCAGTTTTTTCATGTAGATATTGAATTTTGAAAATAATAAATTACCTGAAGTTATTTTAGAAAAATATTTAATCTCTATACAAAAAAAGATAAAATATCGTAGATGTGGGTACCTCTATAGCGGATTACTTTCGTTCGAATCATCCGTATAATTTTCTTTTGAGTGCACTGCACATTAAAATAATTTAATACGCAATTACTTTACGTTTCCAACAAAGCACATGCCATTCAGGAAAGAAACAAGCAACGTCTTCTACAGTCAGCGACTTTTCTCTTCCGCATCGCGAGGTGATTAAAACCGCTGGATAAAACGATTCTGCATTAATGTATGAGCAGATAATGTAAAAGAAACTGAAACACGCAGAGCCTCAGAAAAAGTTACACAAAAGAAGCTGGATAAAAACAAAATAAAAAAAAGCTTTGAAGAAAATAAAAAGCAAAAAGGGGCTGCAAGGAATTATCATTCTCTCTTTCTCTCTGGGGCTTTAGAGAGAAAGCAAGAATGCGAGCAAGTCCACGTTGCTTGTTTCATTTTATACATTTCTTGTCCCTACATTTCCAAGGTTCGTTTTGCTTCGTCTCTTTATTTTTTCCTTCTGCTTCTTTCCTCCCTTTTGAGATGCAAATGCGAAGAGGAAAGGCGATAAAGGGGGGAGGGGGTGCTTACAGGGGAGTAGGGTCGGTCGTTGCCGAGCTGCTGGCGGCGATAATGGTCGCCCGGAGGCGGTGCACCGGCGCCGGGCTCCGTTTCTCCAGGGCCTCTTGGACTCGGGCCAGGGTTTCCTGGGAGCAAATCACGCCGTGGGCCTCAGCTGTCAGCAATCGCTTCGCGATGTCGCTGCTAGTCAGCTGCACTGTCCCCGGAATCAGCAGCACCCCTGGAATGCAATTGCAATATGCTTCAGAAAAGAACCACCAAAGAACTAGAAAATAATATATATGTGGGGGATGGTAGAATAACGTTGTCATTCAAATACCTGATTATTGCTGTCAAGCCTCTCCTGGAACAAACTTGTAAAAAAAAAAAAAAATCTTCCAGCACTTCAGAATTGGACCAACCTGCCCAAGTGGGGAGCTATTTTTGCTGTGACCTCACAGTAGGTGCACACCAGGGTCACAACTGGTGCATACCGGATATTCTGGGGTTACAAGTGTGCACTGGTGTAGAGGAAATTTTGCTACCATTCCTCCCGATGTGAACCACGTGTCTACACTGTATTGTTCTCATAGTGTGTTTACGTGGTTGACATTGGAACTACATTGAATAAACAAATGTTTACACTGGGACTCATAAGACCACACTTGTGCGTTAACCTGCACATTAGGGATATGCATGTGGCACAGAAGAACTTTCATACACTTCAGGTGCACAGCAGAGTCACTGTGTAGAATTACAAACATATCCCCTGTGTGCACCTATTTCCCCACTTGGATGGTACAGCCAAAAAATACCTGAAGTCCCAACATATCTTTGATAATGCACAACTGCAAAGTTATTTCTGACAACAATATTCTGCAACAAGTTTTATTTGCAACAAGATTATTCCAGTCTGACAAGGTTGGGCCTGAGAACATTATTCCAGCCACCCCTATGTGGACTCTCTCTTTAAAAAAAAAGCACGGGTCCAGAAAAAACATGGTTGTAGTGAGATTTTTGGTGTAGCTAATGTAGGTAACCTCCATATAGGATGGGTAGAGATACTTTTGGAACTAAAATAAAAATGTGTTTTGAAGAATTCCAGACACAAACGCTTCTCAAAATTTGAATCATGGGGGTTGAGTCATAGTCTTCTCAATTGAATTCAGATGAGGACTGAACGCAATTTAGCACTATGGGAAGTTTTTGACTTATAGAGAAAATAGTTGTAGACAAAATCCTTGTAAGTAGAGTCTACCTGTACAGTAAACCCTTACATTGCGTCCAGATGGCCAAAAATTGACTGAAGAAGGTTTTCAGTTTAGGAAACCAACATTAAAAATTTAAGCTTTAAAAATGAATTTGCTTTAAATGTGAAAAAATATAGGAAAGTAAAAATTGGCAATGTTCTGGTCCTTGAAGTGCTAAAGGATACTGACGTTAAAAGAAAAGTTACATTTGGCAGGATTCGTCATTCATCTTTTTGAAAAGTACTGTATCTAGTTACACTTCAATGGTTTTCCCCTTTTTCTTAGGTTCACAAAATTAGCCCAATTGAGTCCATTCTAGACACAAACAAAAATCCTTAACAGACCTATAGAAACTCTGCGTTTAAACTTCACTTAGAATTGGACAACAATTCAGAATTTCAAGCTCTCAAATTCCTTAAATTCACAAAATTTCGGACTATAGATAATATATACTTTACATTTCTATCCTCTTTTGCAACGCGTTTATTATTTTTGTAACCATACAGTCAAAGGTTTTTAGTCAGAACTTATTGATAAGGTCCATGTATTATTTGTCCAGAAGATGTTGCGTAAAAGAAATTTGTTACTTGAAGCTCAAATTTGTTATACCATGATATATATTTTGAATGTGTTGCTACAGTTGTTCAATAGATTCATGCAGGTATGGACAACTGTACACTTTAATTATGAAAAACAATGCTGGAATCCTCCGAAGGGAGGGAAACTGAAGCATACCAGAACTTATTTGTTTTCATTTAGGAATCATATAAAATTACCGACTCCTCCAATGAAAATGCAAAAATACGTCAGCATACTTATGAACAATCGCTTACCACACTGAATTGCTGCAAGATTAAGAGCCCACCATTCCGGAATCCTTGGCAGGATGACAATCACTCTATTCATTGGTTGAAATCCACAATCTTCTTTGAGAAATCGTGCGATTTTCTGACTCCATTCCAGTAAATCGTGAAACGAAAGCCTCGTCTCGGTGCCATCTTTAGCCACGTGAACCAACGCATCCGAATCCCCGGTCTGTAAAAAATAAGTATGTACTCCACGCGACACCTTTCTAACACAAATGCAGATCAAAGCTTGGCAAAACTATTTGAAGCATAGATGTCACTTACAGCGATGTCCATCGCGTGCGCAGCGAACACATCCTTAGCAAAATTGAAGTGCAACGGAATTGGAGCCTCGTGGTTCAGAATTTTCCCGAAATGATCGTTCCTCAAGCCGGTTTTTGAATGCCACACTTCCGGTGGCCAAGCGGAACAGGCTTCGCCTGCACCATTGCCAAAAGTGCGCTTGCACGCAAATCGCGCGAGCTGACCATGGATTGGAGCGTCATCTAGGAACCCTCTTTCGGCAGCAAAACGGCCAAACTGGCCTCTCAGTTGACCCCAGGGCTGGCGCCGAATCATATCCTGTACTGTTTTAAAAAGAGTTCTGTTGAATAAAACTTGAACAGTACTTGGAAGGGATTTCTGACGAGCCTGGAACTTTATTTAAATGAAACCACAATAAGAGACACTTGAATCTAGGAGCTTTCATTCTAAATTCACTCAGCATCAGACATCAATTCAGAATTTCAAGCTCCCAACTTCCACAAATTCACAGAATTTCAGACTATAGATCAATTAATTAAATTGGGTCCTTTGTGCAGGGGTTGACTGTACTTATACAATTGCCAGAGGCACTTTTTCTTATTCAGATGAACAGCATCCAGTCCAACTGGGATTGTTCCAGTTAAACACAATCTCTGATATTTTTTATAGTCAGTGTGATTGTAAAAAAAAAAGTAGTGTAATGGCATAACAATAGCCAATGATGTTCTAAGGTTCAGGGAAGTTTTGTATTTTAAAATAAGTTTTTCAATTTTCTGATGTATGATGAGCAAGAAATTTTCAGTTACAGACAAATTACTCGATTCATGTTACAGGGTACTAACCACATGTCAGGATACTTGAAAATGGAATTTTTATGTTATGGTTAAAACAACAAAAATTCAATTTTCTGGCTGTAACTGGAAAGTTTTCACTTATCATGCAGTAAATTGAAAAACGTTTTTAAAAATCTGAAAAATGCCAGAACCTTAGAAAATCATGAGCTATAATCCATGATATATTTTTTTACAATCAAACCTGCTCGAAAAATATCAGAGGTGGATGTCACAAATGGAACAACCCCAGTTGTACAACCTCTGCACGATACAGTAGTTCCAATAGGTTTGAAGGAATTAAGATGTTGTATATTTTAAAACAAATGACCAGCTTTTAATTTTCCGTCGAATAGAAATCACAGGCAATAAAACTGGAAGAAAAAAGACTCACTTCTGGGTGTGTTCACCCTGAGGGACCGAAGCCAGATTACTACTAACAATACTTTGGTGTGGTGGTTGTCACTGCGTTCGTGCGGACTCAGCTAGTGTTTGTCGCGCTCTCTCTCTATCCTCTTCAGTTATTCAGGGTTTCATTATATATTGTACAACTCCACTCTCTTTTGCGTCTCATTCATGTCACTTTATTCCCATCATTTCTGTGTATATTCTCCGCATTCTTTAACTTGTCTTGATCTCTTGAATGTATACGATGTTATTGTCCGACTCGCCGGAACATGTTTCTCGCTCTTGTGCATCTTCTGTATATTTGTCCTGTGTGGGGACATGAAAGTCCCCTCATCTCCATTCCTGAAAGAAAATAGGTTGTTTTGTGCTGGGGTTTCGGAAATGCTTACACTTGCATATAAAGGGTGTTGGGAATTATTCACCCCGGTGGATATGCGTTTGTAATTGTTATATCCTTATCCTAAAAATGGAGCCTCTTTATTTGGTAAATTTTCGCTGGTTTGTACACAAGACATTTGAAAATACCCTTTTTCTCAACCTTCGTTTGATAATGATTTCAGCAACTCAAGGCCATATCAAGTATTTTGCATTAGGTTAAACATGCACCAATTACGGTGCATAAATTATGTAAATTTGTTAGTAAGAAAAAAATTAGGTTTGAAGGAATTTATTTCGTATTTAATAAAAAATGACATTTTTATGTGCATGTCATTATAAAAAAATTGGTTGCATTTTTTAAAGTCATGTATATCTTGAAAATTTTACCTCAGTGCTTGGGTAAAAGTCGGTGATTACTGCGCAATAATTTTTATCACCATTTTCTTCACCTTCTTGTTTATAATGATAATAATGAGGTAAAGGCGACATGGAGTATTAACCATTATGTTGAACATAGGCCAAGTACGTTATTTATATGATGTCGATTTTTCAGAAAGAAAAAATTTAGGTGTGAAGGAATTTAGTACAGTAATTTTAAATTTAATAAAAAAGTTACTTTTAGCGTGCTTGTCAATCTAAAGAAATCTAAGCTTTATGTTTCAAGATTTCAACAGGATTGGAAATAGTAAAGTTTGAAATGTATAGGGTACTACAAAGTTGAAGTTTCTCCAGGAAATCTACGCACCCAAAAAAACGAACTAAAGGAAAAAAAATAATATTGTCATATTTGAGTTCTTCACTGGTAAACCCAACAAAATCAGTTTAACCTGACCAAACGTACCATACCATGATGCTAAACTGAACCTTACTGCACCAATTGTGATGAAAAAATTAATAATCCGAACAAAATTGACCTCAATTATATTTCCGGTAAACAGGGACATTTTTGGTAGCGCTTTTCTTCAAGGCATGTTGAGAGAAAAAAAATTGTTCAAAGAATTCGAGTGTCCTTTAAAGCCAGTGTTGTATATTTTTTACAACCTGTGTGTCCTCGTCTGTTTTTCAGGGTGTTGTCGCCGTTCAATTCTTGGATAAGAATCTATTCCTACTTAATATCGATGACACACCCTCAAGATTATTTTCTGCATAGCTTGGTCCACGATTAACATTTTCGGATGAAAATCACTCACTGGAATAATGATCGACGAGCTGTAAGATAAACATGTGGGTGGAAAAACAGTGATGGAAAAAATGGGACATGAACCTGTTGAAGGATTAGATGCTGTCAAGACAATTGTGTCTCTCTGGATGACATATTTTCATGTCAATTTCGAAAGGTTTTTATTGGTTGATGGTTGAATCAGATGAACTCATATTTTGACGTTACATTTTTTTTTGATCAATAAAATTGATGTAAGTTTTCGAGTTGGATTAATAAAACAGCATCATCATACGAGACTGTTTTTTTTAAACCAAAGCTCCAGAATTTTTCATTTCTTCCTCCTGTCAACACTCGAAATACTAAAAAAAAAAACGAGCATTCGCAAAAACTGAAACATCACCGTGATCGGGATCAACGAAAAAAAAATCCACAAATTCAAGAAAAAAAAACACCTACATTCACAACACCAGTCATTTGTATCAGTCGATATCAAATTTTAGTCGCAAATTCACATCAAGTATTTCTTTTTCTAAATATTCCACAAAACACAACTTTGCAAGCAGCTCAATGTTGAGCCACCTGAACAAAACTCGCCCACATCTCATCTTCAAAATCATGAATAATTCAGGGAAAGAAAATCCAAATGCAGTAATTGATAGTATTAAATTCATTGGTAATATTTAATTTCAGAAAGAAATAAAAGGCATTCTCATGAAGCAAGTCAAACATTCATCATGTCCGCTGATTTACGTATTTTATTCGAAACCATCACTAGCTTATTTTCTTCCAATTTTAAGATCAAAACCGTCTATCCAAAAAGGAAAATGAAGAAGTTGAATTTATTGATGCCGATTAATGTTTTTCCTCATTTTATTCTGAATGAAATCCATGAAATAGAAATTTCGCGTATTCAGACACTTAAATTGAAGGACACGTTTGTTTTTCATTTCGTAAATAACGATCGATTGAGTTTAAAGGACCCTCACTCGGATCCTTCGGCATTTAAAGAATTTTTAAACAGAGCTGAATTTCGAGAACTGTTTTGGTTGATAAATTCAAAAGCTACAAAATTTTAAAGAACGCCGTCAAGAGAAGCATTATAGGAAGGAGTATTTTTCTAAATCTCAAAAACCTTGTCATTTTATTTCAAATTACCTGTGCTGAAAAAGTTGAAAAGCAACCTTTGATCGAATAGCTGAAGAAGTCATAAAATTCATGGATATGCTTCGCAGAAGGTTCATTTATAATGGTCAACCGTATTTTTGATTTCGGGAATTTCTAAAAAAAAGGGGGGGGGGGTAGCTTTTCTTGTTCTTTCCTCGTAACGGAATCCGAACAGCCTCGTTTGCGTTTCGCAAGGAACAAAAACTCATAAAGATGCTCACACACACATATACAATTTTCTTTTCTTATTCTTAAAACATCACAACGATGACGCGGAATGTCTCAGGAAGCGAAAAAAGTGGCTTCGTCAGATCATCGCTTTTTCTTTCTCTTTTTTTTTTCGTTCGTTCTGCTGATGAATCAGCTGCTAATGCTGATCAAACGAGTGACACACATAGGAAACGAAAAATAACTAAAAGTAATCCAGTCACACACAGTCAATTAACCGTTTTTTTCTCGCATCGACGCGACAATTTCACCAGACCGCGATTCCGAGAAGGTACGAAGAAACGCACCGGAACTTGTAGGGACATCTATTTTTGAAAGAAAACAAGACGAACGGCGAGATCTTCCAAAATTGTTGGCAGGTAACAGTCTTTAATGAAAATACGCCTCGAACTATTTTTCTTTCTTCCAAAAATCAAGATTTTGGACACAAATCTTGGAGGTAACTGCAAATTTCTTTCTTCCCGAAAGGGTTCTCAAAAATGGAATGCATTTTTCCATCAGGAAATTCCAATAAAATGAGAACTTATCACGGATTTAAAAATTATGAGTTGTAACTGGTATGTAATATTCTCCAGAGGAAGAGAATAATTCCAGATAATGTTCATTTTTCGTTGTTCTTTGTAAGTAATTGGACAGCATCAATAATTAGCAGAATATTTCTCACTGTCAACTCGAGTGAAAAATCAGGAGATCTTTTATCCCCAGAAAATTCTGCGTTGAAATTTTTTAAACGCTAAAATTCTCTCAATTTGCAAGTATCCCGATAAATATTTAAAATTCTTGCTTCACCTGATTGTTCGCCTAGAATAAATTTAAAAAATCACTCAAAATTGTCTGCGTCTTGCAATTGAGATAAAAACACGTAAGGAACAAAACATGGCGGGTAGAATTAAGTGGTTAAACAATACATTTCAAGAAAGATGAAATGATTCCAGGTATCCTGTGTGAATTTTTTCCTGTCATTTATAATATCAAGCAGCAATTTTACCTCCTTGAAACTAAAATTGGAAATCTCTTCAACCCCTGATTTAAAAAGTACCAAAAAGATACGTTAATGGGGTTTACATTTTCACAGACAAGAGAGATCATTAGATTCCATGGAAGCTCTTCAGAACAGTCTGCAAATTTCTTAAATCATTAAATTGACTGGGGGAAAACTGGATTAAAGGACTCTGTAATTCGGCAAAAATTGGGGAACAGCTTGATATAAAACTGTCTCCTGGTACACATTTATTTGAGTAAATGAAAGAATATCCAGAGGAACTTCAACTTGAAACCTGCTGCTCATTTTCATCTTTTTCGAAATTCGTCCCGCTTCACTTCAAAGTTTTGAAAAAAAGAGAAACAACCAAAACTGACCTGTCTTCATATACGCACACAGGCTGAGTCACTTCTTATTTCACCAAAAGTTCCAATTTCAAACGAAATCAATAACAATTGAGGCGTAAATAAATTTCAGGGAATATCTATCTGTGATCGTTCAGTGATATGTTCCATGTCCAAAAAAAAAAAATTTGTTCCGGAAGAAAAACAAAAAGCATGGTGTCCATCCATGTGGATTTTCAAGGACCACAAATTAAATAAATAATAAAAGAGGATAATATGAAGGGATTAAAGAGCATAAATCAGGGGTCGCTCGGGTTTAGGACACGGCGCAGTCGTCGACTTGAGCATCGCGCATTTGCTGCTTGGCCTTGCGACTGCAGCGGCGGATCAGGGACCTGGACCGGGGCTTGGCAGGTGGCGGCGGTGGCGGCAACTGCTGATGGGAGACGGACGCCGCGGCGCCGTTGACCCTCAGGCTCGTCTGCTGGTCAGAGCCGTCATTGTTTTCAGACGTCGTCGACATCCGCCGCACGAAGCTGTAGGACTTGTTGGAACTGCTGCTGGACGACCTTTGAAAAAAAAAAGAGAAATAAAATTCGAAAGACTCGCTCAGGGCACCCAAAAATCTGAAAAACTCGACTTCCGAACATTTTATGAGTGAAAAAAAAAACTGAACTTCCGAGAAATTTTCGGGTTATTACACGTATCAACGCATCGAAAAAGGAGAAAATTCTACTTTTTTGACATTAACTTCAAAAAAGGTAAGTCCTGGAGATTGAGCGAAAAAATTCTTTGGTTTAAATGAGTACTGTATTATTTATGTGAAACCATGAAATTTTCATTTTTGAAGTATTTTATTAGCACATGCATCTAGCGATTGCAGCCAGAAGCCAAATAATCAGGTTTCCTCAAACATGGGAAAATGTACGAGTATTTTACACTTCAAAGGTCATAACTTCACCAATAAACAAGATATTTCAGAATGTGCACCATCGAAACGGAGCTGATGATTATCTTTGCTGAAAATAAATCGACTGAAAATTTAGCAATCGAACGGATATTTTATTCGAGGCATGAAAACGATCAGGATGTCAGTGAGACATTTCAGAAAGGCCAATAAGTTCTGAAAATATAATCTACATTTGTAGCATTTATTTCTTCCAAAAAAGGAAGTTTTATTTCGTTTAAATTTTCGTAGAAGCCACTTGACATGAAATATTCATCATTTAGACACTTGACTCACGGTTTTAATTTTAAACAAGGTCCCCCACGGTCCCCCACCCAGATTAAAAATCGAGGAAACCCCGCAAAGCTCTCGTGGATTTCATTGCTGAAGTAGAAGATTTTCAAATGATTTCTTGGCTTTTTATGGACAGGAAGAAATTTTAGTTAAGAATAATATAAAAGAAAAAAGAGTGGACAAACCGATTGGAGACGTAGGCGCTGCTTCGGCGAACGAGTTTGCTGCCCTCGTCGGACTCACTGGGAAACGGGTACTTGGACAGTTGTAACAGAGTTCGGAAGACTTCCTTGATGTTGAAATCGTCTTTCGCGGAACATTCCAGAACCTTCGCCCTGTGATTCACATAAAATCACACAAAACAAATTTTATAAAATTTACTTTTTCGAAGTCCTGCGTCGTCTCGGCGCGTCGCCATCAAGTTTCGGGTTCCGGAATAAAAAAAAAAAAAGAGGAATAAAGGACCATTTTATGAGCCCACCAAAAAAATTCTAAAAACACTGAAGTCAAAAATTTTTGGAGTCCTGTCCGACCTTTCGAAGTCAACTAAGGGATGTTTAAAATTAATACTGCAAGTCTGTCAGATCCTCTCCTCGCGAATTAATGTTGCGCCACTTTTGTGAATCAAAAGCTTACTTCAAGTAAATCACCATTATGGAGAAATAAAGGAAACCTTTACTTAATAGAAAAAAAGATTTGATAGTGTAAGATATATTTTAGAAAATTAGAGCAACGAAGCTGCTGCTGTATATCAAGGTCGCTTTGCTTGGACTTCCGAAAAACTTTTTAATTGGGATTTCCACGGAAAAACCTTTTACGAATATATTACGAATATTCAGGTTCAGTATATACACATCCGAACTTTTAAAAAAAGGCATGGATAACGAAGAGAACAAAAGGCTTCTCATTGCGCCTTCCTTTAAATGAGATCCGGATGTAATAAAGTAAAGATATATTCGAGCTTCCGGTTTTGCCCTTATCAACGCAGGTGCTGCAAATTTATCTTTTTTTTTTTTTTGGTATCATACCGGGAAATGAGCAACAGCCGGTTCCCCAGAGTCTCTGCTTTGCACAGGTGTCATACATTGGAAGTGGTTTCCAGAAACGGAATCACTCTATTCTCAATTATTCCTAATTACTTATCCCGCTTCCATCTGGT